TCTCGTATTGCGCGCATGCGCGCGGGCACGTCCGTGGCGCTTCTCCCCAACTCACGGGGAGAGGAGGCCTCCGCCCTCTGCCCAAATGCGGGTACCTTCTTGCCGACACGCTCTTTCACACATGGGCATCGCCGCGCTCCCCCCTCCCGGGGGTGGGGGGGGTCTGCCTCTCGTCACATGTCTGTCCCTCGGGTCGCTCTTCTCATCTGTGGCGCAGCCTTAGCTCTTGTTTTTTCTTGTTCTTTTTTTTTTTTGCAAGAGGCTGGCCGCCATGGCGCGCGTGCATGGCAAAGGTGTCTTAAAACCCCGGGCCATGCGCGCGCCCCTCCTTGAGGGCGCACACGCAGTCGATCCGAAGACCATGCGCAGCACGCAGCAAGGAGGACACACGCACGCACGCACCCGGGGCCACAGACAGACAGATGCACATACACACACACACACATGGAGAGGCGGAGGGGTGGAGACAAAGTGACGCGAGGAGGAGGGCGCACGGCGCGCGGCAAATGTGGAGAGGCGAAGGGAGATACGCGCCGGAGGGAGCGCGAGGGGCGCGCGGCGAGGGGGGAAGTGCCAAATGAGCGCACACGAAGATTGGGACACGCGCAAACCGAGATACAAACGAAAAGGAGGGGGGGAGGGAGGCGTGGGCGCACGCACGAGACACGCAGGGGGCGGCGCGGGAACGAGCGCAGGTGCAGCCGGGGGGTGGGAAGGGGAAAGGCGGGCAGATGCGCGAAGTAGCCGGGCAGGGGAGTGCACAGCCAGCGATGCATCCCACCACACAGTGCACACATCGGCCACATCCGGTGACGCCTCGCCGCCGCCCATTCACCGGCCACACACCACACAGGGGAGCGCATCAGGAGAGGGGGGGGGGGCGAAAGAGAGAGAGAGAGAGGAACGGGTGGGCATGCCCATGCCCCGCCCTTGCCTCCTCTACTAGACTGTCGCCCTTCTCTCGGCCTGACGCGTGGCACTGTGATTCTCGGTTCCGTGCCCGGCGGGGTCCCCCTGCAGCCCTAGCCGCAGCCTCCTTCTCTGACTCGCCTCGCTCACTCTCTCTCTCTCTCGCGCACGCACGCACGCACGCACGCACGCACATGGCCACTCAGAAGACCAGGTTCTCGGCGTCGGTGCTGACGACCTTGCCGATGGCCAGGACCTTGAAGCCGATGTCGCGCAGGGTGGCGTGGTTGAGGACGAGGCGGCCGTCGAAGAGGACCGCCGGCTTGCGCATGGACGCATAGATGCGGTTGTAGTCCAGCTGGGTGAACTCGTCCCACTCGGTGATGATAACCACGGCGTCGGCCCCGGCCGCGGCGGAGTAGGCATCCTCATGGGCGGAGAAGCCCTCGGCGATGCTCTCGCTGCTGTGCCCGGCCTGGGTCAGGTCGTAGATCATCTGCTTGGTGCTGACCTTCGGGTCGTAGACGGCCACCTCGGCGCCCTCGTGCAGCAGGGCGCTGCACACATCGATGGCCGGGGTCTCGCGGGTGTCGCCGGTGTCCTTCTTGAAGGCGAACCCGAAGACGGCGATGCGCTTGCCGGACACCGTGTTGAAGAGCGACTGCAGCAGGCGCCCGACGAAGCGCCGCTTCTGATAGTCATTCATGATGATCACCTGGCGCCAGTAGTTGGCCACCTCCGGCAGGTGCAGCGACTCGCACAGGTACACCAGGTTGAGGATGTCCTTCTGGAAGCAGGACCCCCCGAAGCCGACCGAGGCCTTGAGGAACTTGGCCCCGATGCGGGTGTCGGTCCCGACGGCGAAGGCCACCTCGTCGACGTCGGCCCCGGTGGCCTCGCAAAGGGCCGACAGGGCGTTGACGCTGGAAATGCGCTGGGCGAGCATGGCGTTGGCGGCCTGTGTGTGTGTGTGTGTGTGTGTGTGTGTGGTCATGGT